CCAGCCAGCCATGAGTTGAAGTCCACTCATCTTAAAGTGGCCAAGTTTGGACAACGCTGCTCTAAGTGATCATTCTGATTTCTGCAGCTCAAATACTGTACCCAGATTTTCACTGTAGTGTTTTCTGACCCAACACTATGTTCATCTGTTATATCAGTCTGCCCCCATGTGGCATTATATCAAATTAGATGGTGGAATGTAAAATAAATGCATTATAATGGGCTGGCTGAAAAGTCAAGGAGCTGCATCCCCAAACCAGGACTGGGAATCCATGGCCGTTCCGCTATCCAGCTGAACTACAACTCCCAGCATCTCCCGCTCATTGGCTAAGATGGTTGGAAATTATTCATCCGTTCAATCAGTTTTCCTACCATGGCCTTAAAAACATCTGGAAGGATTAGGAATCCTTTTACAAAGGAAGGGATCCTTTGTAAAATGTGGGAAGAAATTCTGCTAAAAGGAATGTTATCTGCAAGGAAGACTATATGGAGTACATTTGTTAGGATTAAATAATTTTAATCCCAATTTTTCCCAGTTGATTGAGGCAGTGGTTGCTGCAATACTGATCAATAAATCTTTGTTCCTTCATGTTTGTGCATTCTTGGGGAAACTATCTGAATGATTGGGAAGCCTTGTAGTTTTTACATGTTACACAAATAGTCTTTTTAATATTATTGCATTCAAAATGAATCCGAGACTTTATTTGAAGATTTAAATAACCAAATGAGGTTGGGTTTTTTTTCTTTTCCTTCCAGGACTTGGATGCTGACAGCATGAAACCTGTATTATTCACTAGGATGGACTGATATTTTTAAATAACTCTATTTGTTAAAAAAAAAAAAAAGATCTTAAGCTGTTAGGGCAGAAATTGATTCTTTAACATGATGAATCCCTTGATATTTATACATTAACTGAATTTTAACAATGACCTGCAGCTTTTAAGGTGGTGTAAGATATTCAGTTATGTAAAACTAATGAAATATTAAAAATTCTTATCTAACAAATTTGGTCCTATTTGATGCTTGTAAAACCTTTGTGTATTGTATTGTAGAACTTCGTGTATTTTCTTTTTTGCCGCTTTTCTCATTTTTCTTCCTCAAAAATAATAAAAATCTAACATTTTTATTAAGAAACATTACATCTTCACAAATTTTCCCTTCCGCTCTGTTTTCTTCGATAGGTCGTAGGCGTAAACCACACAACCAGCCTTTATATAAGTACGTCACTCAGGCAGTTAATTTCCATCCACGCCGCCCTATCCCAAGCTTTTAGCCCCGCCCCCTCCCTCTCGGATTGGGCGGGTATGGCGCACAGGCCCCGCCCCTCTGATCTTGTGACGGGCGGTTTTGGCGCGCTTTTGGAAGAGGACGCTCTTTCTCCGTCCTCTTCGCTGTTGCTCCTGGAGACGCCCGTTGGCTCTGAGTAGGGAAAGCCGCCAAGGATGCGAAGCCGCGAAGAGGTCGACGCCACGCTGCAGGTCGCTAAGCTAAACCCTGCGGAGCTGCTTCCGACGGTGCAGTGCCTCAGCTTCAGTCCGCAGGTCGATGCCGGGGATTACTGTCTTCTGCAGCTGGAGCCGGAGCTGTGCAGCGAGTTGGAGGCGGGGCAAAGGTACGCGCGTGCTCGGCAGTGCCCTCTGGCGGCAGAGCGTGCAGCAGGCTTGGTAGCTCGTCTGGCGGCTCTACAGCGACCCCTGGCGCCTGGGAGGGTCAGCTGGTCTAATTGAGAAAGGAAATTGCTTTGCCCACCTCTGCGTGCTCCAGATGTGTCAGACCAGTATTGCTCAAATTTGGGGAATTCTGGGAGTTGAAGTCCACACATCTTAAAGTTGCCAAGTTTGAGAAACACTGTGTTAGACTAGAATTCAGCCCGTTTCTATTTTTTTTTGGCTGTGAATTATGGGTCTCACCATACATGGGATATTGGGAGAAGATGGGCTGTGGGGTTTCAGACATATAAGCGCCCCATCTTTTTTTATTATGTATTTTTAAACCCCACCTTTATCTTTGGTCAACTCAATGAATTCTGGGAGTTGAAGTCCACACATCTTAAAGTTGCCAAGTTTGAGAAACACTGTGTTAGACTAGAATTCAGCCCGTTTCTATTTTTTTTTTTGGCTGAGAATTATGGTTCTCAACATACCTGGAATATTGGGAGAAGCTGGGCTGTGGGTTTTCAGACATATCAGCCTCCCATCTTTATTTATTATGTATTTTTAAACCCCACCTTTATCTTTGGTCAACTCAATGTGGTTCGCATACCTATTGCTCCTTCCTCGTCTTTTCCCTGCAACAACAACCCTGTGAGGTGGGTTGGGCTGAGACTGGCCCCAAATCATCCAGCTGGCTTCCATGCCTAACAAACCACCATAACTCACAATGTCCTGGTTTCTAGCCTAGCACTTTCACCACCACACTGTGCTGGCTCTCTTTAACAGTACTTGTCTTTATTCAGAGATTAGCATGTTTTTCTGTCCAGATCTTTGAGGTTACAGCCCCTGCCTTCCATGCTGATTGGGGCTGTGCAGAGATGCAGGCCAAAACTTGCTTTAAGTCTTGCTCCATCTTAGGTCCCATCTGTAGGTGTTGCTGGACTGCAACTTCCATCATTCAATCACAGCTACAGCATTTTTAACATGAAGAAATACCTGTGCGGCCTATTACAATCTGCTAGAGTGTGGGATAGCTATGGCAGATACAGACCGATTGAAGCGACGGTTTATTAGTTCAGTAAATTAATAATTTATTAAACTTGTATGCCGCACAACTCTCAATAACTCTGGGCAGCTAGTTCATTGCAAATTGCAAGTCAGTTGGTCCTTAGAGCCAGCAAGTTTAAAAAATTGGGGGCAGTTGCCTGAGGGACAGGACAAAAAGGGTGTGTGTGAAAGAAAAAGATAATTTGTACATGTAAATAGGAACAAAGAATAGTTTATGAGAAAGTGCCATGTTATAATTAAATATGAGTATTTTTGTTGATGCCCTCTTTAAATGGAAACAACTTATATAATATCTGCTCACACATTACTGTAAATGTTTAAATTGTTCATAGTGGATTGTTGCTTTTGGTAAATGAGAGACAATATAATAATAGCTTCCCCCTATCTATGATACTACTGTAGCAGGAACAGAACCAATAAGTGAGGAGATGAAATCAGTATAAAAGCAATCCTGCTAAGTTTATTGTATGGGTTTTGGCAGTGAAAATTTAAAATATATTATTGATCTCCCAAATAAACTTCACAAGAATTATGCTATTCCTGAGCAAATAAGTGCTGTTCTGCCACTTTCTAGCAAAATTCACTTACACTTTTTATAAGCTGGGCAGAGGCAGGAGAACATGTTTCTTCTTGGGCAAACTTTTTTATAGCAAGTATGCGCCCCATCCTCTCCCATTCAAAATAGCTGTATTTGCATGTCCATCCAATGGCTGTATGATCAAATAGAAGAACAGAGTTGGAATTTTTTGTTTCCTTATTTTTATTTTTAAAGCAAACTACTTTAAATTACAGCTTATAATTGCAATATGCTGATACGAGGTGAATTCTAAAAGACGTTAAATTCTGCATCATAGTATTTTAAAGGTTTGTTATAGAGCTAGTGCTACTTCACAACAGTTGCTCTGTTAAACCTATAGATTGGTTCACATATCCTGCTAAGTCTGGAATTTTTATACTATAGATTAAATGTAATGCTAAGTCACAATGGATGAGTACAGACACTGTGTTAAGTGAAAAATAAACTACATTGTAGTTTTGCATAATGTGCACACCTGGCTTATGTGCAGTTGTTTTATCCTGCAGCCTGGTGATCCGTGGAGAGAAAGATGAACATGCTGTGATATGCAGTAAAGACAAGACATATGACATGAAAATAGCAGATACTTCCAATACGTTGCTTTTTATTCCTTGCTGTGAAACTCCAGAGCAGCTTGGTGCAGACAAGTCTTCCTCTAATATCCTCCACGCTGAGGTACTGTGTGTCTGAAGATTCGCCAGAGCAAATTAAGATCTTTGAAAAGTCATCTCCCTCCCTTTAAAAGAATAAGTCACATTTAAATCCTTTTCCAAGGAGTTCAAGTTTGTGAATGTGAGAGAACCCTAGTTTATCCAATGAATTAAGTCAGAGCATCTTGTGGCCAAGAGATACAATAATTATTTTGGGGAGTATTTAGGGGCATAGTGGGTAGGATAATTATTTAAAATAGGACCACATACCTATGGGTGGGATCTTGGATTTGGGGGCATATCAGAGCTGATAGAACTTGGAATTCAGTAACCTCTGGGAGGACATATGTTATCCATGACTTAAAATTAATCTAAGCAGGAATGTGATATTTGACAGGTTGATGGGCAAATGACTGAACCAGATGGAACAGCCTTTTTTTAGTCTGGCTCTGTAGTTCTGTGTTTATAGCAATTCTTTCTCTAAGAAAGAGGGTGGAGTAAAAATAAATTATATCTGCAAGTGCCAACTTTGCAGATTAGTCGGGCAAATCCAATTACGGTTCTTGCTGTAGATTGCAGGCTTCTCCAATAATTTTTGGGAACTAAGAAGATGTCGGCCCAAATTGAAGAAACTGAAGAAACTTCTAATGGAAAATCCTTATGAAGGTCCAGACAGTGAGAGAGAGAGAATTGCGACTAACCCAAAGGTAATAAATAAGACACGGATGGACGGAAAAGTTCTTCTGAGCCAAAACAAGATAGAGCTTTTCATAAAGCGACATTAACTTTGTGCAAGAATAAAAATTAAGCAATTTTTATTCTGAACTGTGAACGGTGATTAGAAAGTAGCAACCCATATTAAATATCCAGGAATGTAGGTTTGTGTGATTTCCCCATCTGGCCCCTTGTAAAGAGTGAGCAAAGGGAAAGGCTGTGTCATGATAGCCATGTGTACATGTATTAATTACCTAAACTTTTTAGCTCGGTGTGTTGGTCGAATATAGCCTCCCACTCACAAACGAAGTCTCTGGGATCCCAGTCTCTGTGGGCCAAGACACTCATTATCAATGGAGTAATTGTTTTCTTTAGCGGTTTCCCCAAGTGCATAATTTCCCTCCTTCCCTTACAAAACAAAGGGTACAAAAAGTGTAGTTCTCCATCCCTTTTGTGGCTTCAAAAGTGGATGGGATTAAACCTTCTGATCTCTTTTTTATATTTTGGGGGTGTTTAAGCAGCAAAGTGGGTAGCATAGGCCTTGTTTCACCTCTTAAATGTCCTGAAATATCCTCCCAGTGTAGTTCTCAGCATGTGACAGAAATCCTGACTCAATCCTTAACCAAAGAAAATTGCAAATACTTCCCTTGAAATAAACTTAGGTGGGAGAAGTAAACAGGACTTAGGAAAGTCTCATTCAACCTCCAGCTTTACACTAGCTATTGATGAAAAGCTGGGAAAATAAGATAAAATATTCAGAATTAGTTCAAGATATAAAATGCAGTTTTAAACATTTGTTTATAGAGAAGTAGCAAGGCACTCATACAATGACATTCAACCTTAAGGAAGTAATTGTTAGCTCAATGCTTCTGTGTGTTTTGTTTACTTTCTGTAGTATACAACAGAGGACTTCTTGAATCTGGTCCAAGCAAGTGAGGAAGAAATAATGCATCAGCTGAAGGTTCTGAAAGCATGCCAAGTTCAAGGTAGTTTTAGCTACAGAATGCGGCTAGATCCTGTTTTATATGTCTCTTGGAATTCCTTATTTAAACTGAAAATTGCTTACTTCTACTGTATTTTACTATAAGACAGAATATATGTGTATCTTCGAGTCAGTGTAGTACAGAATAAGGAGTGTGTTAAAACTTTGCAAGGATTGTGAGAATTTTTCAGATGTTTGACAGTTAATTCAGTCTCTTGCCACATCTCATTTTAGGAGACTAGAGAGGTAATCACAACTGTCTTTTTTTTTTTTTTAAATTACCAGATAAAATAGCACAGCATTTCCTTATTGCTCTCCAGTTCACTTTCAACACTTCAGACAGGTCTTGTGCTCTGCCTGACATACAGTTGTGTAGCTACACAACCAGAACCTAGACCACAACTGTGTAGATACTTGGATTATACTCTTCCATTGAGGGGTTTGTGTGTGTGTGGATACGCCGCATGTGCATGCCTTTGAATCAATTTTGACTCTTGGCAACTGCCTGGACAGTCCCTGCAGTTTTCCTGGCAAGATTTTCAGAAGTGGCTCGCCCTTGTCTTCTTCCTAGAGCTGAGAGCGCGCGACTGGCCCAAGGTCACCCAGTTGGCTTTGTGCCTAAGGTGGGACTAGAAGTCTCCTGGTTTCTAGCCTGGTGCCTCAACCACTACACCAAACTGGCTCTTCTTCAATTGAGTACTGAGGGAGAAAATAACTACTGTAAGCTGTCATCTTGATCGTCATGCAGATGTGCAGATAAAAGAGTAGGGAAAGATCAACAATGCAGATGAGCTCTGCAGTGTATGGATTTTATAGTGGATTTTGTAGATTATATGCTAATGCCATTCTCTGCTTGGCAGGATACTGGAGGATTCTAGACTTTGATTATGAGATGAAACTGTTGAATCATGTGACCCAACTAATATATACAGAGTCCTGGTCATTCGGCAAAGTTCCTTTAAGTATATGTGTTCAAGAGCTCAGACCTCTAGAACCCAAGTAAGTTACTTTATTTATGTCTATATAAATATGTAAGGTAACACTTTATTCTAAAATAATAAGGCTCACCCCTTTGTTTCTTTGTGAAAAGTTCCTGTTTCAATTAGTACAATGTTGTTTACAAAATTAGTAATTTCAGATTTAAAGCTGAACAAGATACGACTGGATTCTCACATCATGCCAAGTCTTGGTTTCCTTAATCATGGTTTATTTACTGAACTAGTGCATTATGAGTTCATAAAATGCACTAAACCAGAAACCATGTTTTATACACCATAATAGCTGGATTACACAATGTGCTAAGTCACAGCCAAAAAACTACACCATGTTCAGTGAATTAGAAATCATATCAATCTTTTTTCACAGTAGATAGATGTAACTTTCATTGGAACATACACACTGTTTTGATGAACACTTTCCCATATACACATGCACAAATAGCTACAGTAGGACACATTAGGATTCTGAATGGGGAGGAAAACAGTACAGTTCCCTCCCTTGGGCTATAGTCCTGATAAAAATTCCCTCCTTCCCTGCTGTTTAATTTTTTTTAAAAAAATTCCCAGCATGGTTTCAAATGATGCACAGGCAGTCCTTGCTTACTGACCACAATTGGGACCAGCAACTCAATCACTAAGTGCCATGGTCACTAAGCCAAAAATCATGTGGCCATGATTTATGATTTCACGTCTGCATTCTCCATTAATTTTGCTTGTTGGAAGCCGGTTGCAAAGCACCTGAATGGGGATCACGTGACCGTGGGACTCTGCGACAGCTGTAAATGCAAGAATTGGTTGCAAAGCTGGTTTTTTGTTTTGCCAACTGTTGTAACTGAATGGTCACTAACCAAGCCAGTTGGTAAGTGAGGACTACCTGTATGTAGTATCAGATCTAGTTTGGCCTTTACTAAATAGCCTTCCCCAGCTGGGCCCCCAGATGTGGTGAATCATTGGTCTTTTGGCTCAGAATTCTGGGAGTTTCAATCCCAGGACATGTAGTAGGTACCAGGTTGGGGAAAGATGCTCTAGTGGAATGGGGGAAAACAGTTGTCAGGTTACCTTTGGTGCAAGGGAGTACATCTGTCTTCAGCATGCTTTTTGTCTTATAAACAGCCCCTAAATGGTATATTTGTGCACTTAAATATTTATCATAAATTTAAGGAAAACGTATTGATGAGTAATGCGATAACCCTAGGTGGCTAGTTTTAAGCCCAATTCTGTAGAGTACAGGTTTTATTATATTTTATAGTGAAATTAGGCACATTTCTATTTCAGGGAAATGATAGAACACATCCTGGAAAGTTATGGGGAAAAATATATGGATGAAGGTAAGTTACCTTCATAAATGCATATTTTTAATAACGAAGATGACATGCGTGGCTTGAGTACTCCCTAGAGCAGAAAGGCAGGATAAAAATTGGTAAATAAACAGAAGTACTTGTATCTTGATATGAATGAATAGCTGAGAATGCCAGATTCAAACTTAAACTACTGAATTAATTCTGGTTAAACTGCAGAATTTAATGTTGTTTTGATGTCAATGGGAATTTTTTAAAGATATGCAGTCAAGTGCATGTAATGTCTTCATTAATTATTTCTGATTTTTAATGCTCCTTACCAGGTGAGACTTACTTTGAAATGAATGAAGAGAAGGTATGTAGAGCAATTGCACAAATGCTCTTACAAAATGCGGTTAAATTCAACCTCTCGGAATTCCAAGAAGTGTGGCGGCAGAGTGTCCCTGAAGGAATGACAACTAAACAGGATCAGTTAAAGGTAATATGATCTGCAAAATGCCACTTTCATAAATGTGCTCAATGTGGAGCATGAAACTGAAGTCTGCGATGGGGAGGGTCAGATTAGGATTTCTGGGGATGAAAGTTCCAATCCCCTGTTTAACTCTAAAACTGACTGGATGTTCTTGAGTCATTTGCATCGTTTAGCCTAAAATACCTTATGAGGTTGATGTACGACTAAAAGTTTAAGAAGTTCTCTCGTTGAAAGAAAGAATAAGACTGAAACCTAGTAACATGGTTTTTTTTTTTTAAAAAATTATTTATTAAGTTAATATTTTTAATCTACTCAATAACAAAAGTTTTCCGGACATATTCCAATTTTGATCTTGTTTATTCAAGGGGTTGGCTCTTGTGGATAGATCCTCTAAACCAGAGATTATTTTCTTGCTGAATGTTGAAGATTTACCAGAAGGGGATAATGAAAGGTTTAAAAGCTTGTTCTCTATTCGGGACAAATGGACAGAAGCTGATATAGCTCCTTATATAGAGTAAGTAGTAATTAAATGCAGAGTAAGTGGTAAGTAAATGCAGTCCTATAGCAGTCCAAAAGTCCACTTGCTATACTTTATGGATGCTGGATTTGCCAGCATCTCAAACATACCTAATTTTTGCTTCAATTCACAATTAGAACTGAAGTATTTTTTGCCTGTTGCAAGTAACTTTCTGTTACCAATAGCTCCCCCATTTCCTTTTGCATCCTTTCTCACAATCATTGTTCATTATTTCCACTATTCTTCTTCAACCAAGATGGTATGCTACTGCTGGTTGACACTATGTACTGCAACACAGTATGTCATTGATGATTCTGTAATTTGCTTAGAATATTGAAATTGTTAAATGGTTTTGGAAATTACATTTTAAAAAAAAGCTTTCTATTTTACAGGGATTTATGCTCAGAGAAGCAAACAATTGGCACACTACTAACAAAATATGCTCGTTCGTCAATGCAGAATGGACTCAAAGTTTATAATTCAAGAAGACCTGTTTCATAAGAATTATTTCAGCTAAGCAGGGGCTGAAAATACTCTTAAAGACTATCAACTGGTAGATCAAATTTGATTTGTAGATTTGGGGATTTATCAAAATGTTTTGCCATATAGTTTAAGCCTCACGATTTTCTGTGAGGCGTCTAATAATATTAAGATCTCTTGAGAATTCTTCTTTACTGATGAAACTGATATTTCTACAAAAATTTAAAAAGCAACATATGGACATTTCATTCAAATCCTTTCTGTATTTTGTTTAAATTAAACAAATCTGTATTAAAATTGTTAAAAAATTATATATTAAAGCATGCATTGTAAAATAATGGGTTATCTTGTAAGAACACAAGTTTAAGATAGAGGGTGGGCTTCTTTTATCTTTTCCTTTATACTACTAACGTTTAAACCTGATCTTCCTTTGAAGAACTAAATCAGTCTTTTCGTGAGTTCCAGTTCAATATATATTAAGCATATAGATTGAATAAATAAGGGGAGAGTATACAGCCTTGTCTGACTCCTTACTGTCTACCAATGTGTTTTTCCTGGTTAAATGTAGGAGTGGTTTACCACTGCAGTATGAAATAAATGTCTTTGCTCTTGTCACTAAGGTAATCATCTGCCTCTAGCATCTTCTATATTGCTGCTGCCCAATATAGGTGCCTACGTGCTGCAACCGCAACCCTAACATCAGCTTCTTGGAAGTATTATAAAGGAAGTTTGTTTTTAGCATATTTTAATTAATTAATTTATATCTATTTTAATTAATGCTTATTCTATTTTTACTGTAAACCGTCCAGAGTCACTCCACAGTGAGATGGGCAATGACAAATTTGAAATATAAATATAAATAAACAAACTGGGATGACCTTCACCACTTGGGTGACCCTGCTGGGATTATACTTCTGGGTTTCTTCCCTCTTCTCTCTCAGGAACACACACACACACACACACACACACACAGTGACCATGATGAGGCAGCACAGCAGTTGGGAAGGTGTCTAATGGGATGAGCATACCAAAACAGTGATAAGTAACATCTGTGTGAATGAGGGAGGGAGCAAATGAGACAGTTAAGAAACTCTAAAAAGCTCCATATATAAATGTATATGCATGTCCACTAGTTTGTTCAGCTAAAGCCATGGAATAATAGGAATAAGCACAAATTATTTATTTGAAAAGCACTGTAACAATAAGCATTTTAGTCTGGAGAAGAAACTGTGGATGGGTTCTGTCCCAACAAAGCATAATGGTATAATTAGAGATCTATGTTTCACTGACAATTGCATCTTTTTCAAAGATAAATTCAGAATTGAAGAACCCCATAGAAATTTATGGAACAATGTATTGACTTTGGAAATATTTTCCAGATATGTATATAGGAATTCCATGCATAATATTCATTTGGCAGTGTTTTCCTACTTCAAAGGTAAGGCTTAATGAATCCCATCTATCGGTACCCAAGGAATTCTCTCTGTATATCTTATTCATATTATCTGAGAAATATCACATGGGTTACTTCAATAAGTTCAGTATATAGACAAAAAGGTCAATTACTTAATGTATAAATATGTCTTTGCCTATTGCCATCAGTTTGACTTAGACCCGTATTTTGCAATTTGCCCATACGGCACATCATACAAGTACATCAGAGCTGGATTGAAGTATGAGGTTTGGAAATAAACAATGAAATATCAGCGCAGAATACCCATTATAATGAATTATGCAAAAACCATGGCTACCTTGCCTAACAGCACAAACTAAGGGTTCTAAATATAAAAAATTAAAGCAAGTGAACAACGCCATTGACCCCTTTAGATTTTGGGACTGCAGGGAGATTCTGGAACCCATAAAATCCACATGCAATCTTGAAATGTGAATTTATTAAGAAAAGTAGGTTCACACAACTTATTGTGCCATGTGGGTTTTCGGTTTCTCTCAGCCACTGATGTTTGCAAACTCTGGTAGGGTTTAGTGTGTATACCTGCTATGAGTTATTCAGTAACCACAGTTGAGCCAACGATGGCTTTGCCCAGTGCAAGCCCAGTTCCTGAATCTTTTTTCTATAGTGTCCCTATGCCTTCCCTCGATTTGGAGCTTCACAGCCATGCTGAACTTCAACACCCTTCATGCCCCCATTGTTGTGGGAGTTGATGTCCAACGCAGGGAAAGGGCTGAGAACAAATGGTACATCCGTGATCTCTTACAGTATTTACCTCACTAAAAACTCTACCTAAAATACTGGTTTCTAATTTAATTGAACTCAAAGGCGCTACGTTAAGCCTTCAGAAGTAACTTCAACGCTTTACGACAGACGCCTAAAATGAGACAGGCGACATTCCCTACCGTTAGAAACGCGCGCGAAATGACTCCACTCCGACGCCGAGCGCGAGTACTCTTCCCCGGCCAATCACGACCCACGGTAGCCTTCCCACGGACCAATGGGCTCTCTAGTGAGGCGCATGCGTGCTCCCCTCCCTTAGCACCGGACTCACTATTGCGCATGCGCCGCTCGAAATCGAATTCGTGCCGTTCGCTTTCCTCTTCTCGTCCTCTCGCTTATCTCAGCAACCGTTACTCCGGAACTGGAAAAAAAAAATTAGAGAGGGTCTAATAGAACGCGACTTTGACCTTTGCCTTGGGGTGAGAGGTCAAGAGTGTCAGGAAAAATGGCGCCCGTGTCTGGCGAAACAGGGATCCCGAGCGGGCGTGTGGAAGCGGCCTAAGGCGAGCCGGAAAGCGACGCTCATCTCCCTGGAGTTGCGTACGTAGAGACCTCTCTCGCCGGCCGGGAGCCTGAGGGGAGACGTCCCTCCGACTCTCGTCAGGAGGCTTAAAAGTCGCTGCTCTCGGAAGTCGCCCGTTGCCTCCCGGAATACCCGCTCGCTTTTCTCAGAGCTTCTCATCACGGGCCGTCGCTTCCTCTGAGAGCAAGCTCCCTTGTCTGCTGGACAGCCCCGCCGACTATCCTTTCCTGGAAGCTGGAGCCCCATTTCATTGTCCCTTTTTTTCACCATCCTAACTTGCTGTGAACTGAAATCTCCCAACTTGCTTTGAGCCCCTCAGCAAAGTGCTCCTGCCCTGGGCAGCCTCAAAAACACACCGTGTGAGAAGACTTGGCAACTGGACATTCCCTTTACTTAAGTCAGATGCTCCCCTGGTGATAGGTCCAAAGGGTTGCTAAAGATCACGATTATAAGAGAAAGACTCCACACAATAAGCCTAGAAATACAGTAAAATTACCTGGAATTAGCCCCAACAGGGTCTGTAGCTGAAACATACATTCAGCCATGAGGATTACTTGTAGATTAATGTTAGTGTTCTTTTCTCCAGATTTGAACATCACCAATAATTCAGCCTAGAAGTACATGGTGACAGGGTACAACTTCCTGTTACGAAGAGGAATCTGAGAAGCCTCTGCATAACTAAATGGCTGTAGAAAATGTTCTAACAGTGTGGTTTGGATGCCAAGAGCTACCACTTAAAAGAGTAATCTTTTAAGTACAGCAATATAAATCTGGCATTCTGTAACTAGTAAGGGAAAGCTTTTTGTAAAAGATATGATTTCTTGCTTTATAGCATATAATTACATCACATTGTAGTCTTGAATATGAAGTGTAAATAACCAAATCTTAGAAATCAGTGTTACAAGGTTTCTGATTTAGAAAAAAAAAGTTTAAAGAACTCCTTAAGTTGATCATATGCATTTTTTACACTCATTTTTCATTTTTAAATGGGTAATGCTGCCTCTGGATGTCCCTTTGGCTGTTCTGAGATTTACTGCTGAAAATGCTTTAATAAGAAGAAACGTCAAAAAAGGAAGAATTAGAAGTACCTTTGGAAAGACTGCTAAAGAGAATGGTGGTGGTGGTGATACGTGTTTGATTTTCACCAAAATTTAGTGCTTCTCTTCATCATGAACAGGAAGAAAGGAGACAAGGGGTTTGAGAGCCCAAGACCTTATAAATTATAAGTATACTTATAACTATAGTTTACATTTTTAAGCTATCATGAAGTAGCATTCAAATGTTGAAAGCTGGAAAAAAAATTAGAAAATTGTAGAACATGTATTTTAATGAATAGATATCAATTCCATATAAAACAGAAATCATCTTTGTGGGAGGGGCCTCTGCTACATGTAAACACCTGGAATATAGCTTTTTATTGATCAAAAATAGCTTTGTGCCTAAAGGTAATAAGCAGCATGTTCCCACAAACAACTGAACTAGATTTTTAATATGAGTTTTATGAATTACTCCAGCTGATGTAAGATTGTTTAAGGTTAGCATAAATACATTTAACAAGTTTCTCATGCTGGTTCTTATATGTATCAGGTATTGCATTGATTTCAGCATAGTTAATGTAGTGGGAGTGTACTTGAATTATTTATTGCTACATATAGTTGCTCTGTGATCAGGCAAGAAAGATGGGAACAGTGGAGAATTTGGGGACAAATAAGCATGACTTGAATGCTTGCAGTGAATTGGACAATTGAAATGTGGATCTTTCTCTGAAATTCTGATAATAATTCTTATCTCAGATTTGGTGAGAAAGGAAAGCTCTTGGTGTCAGTGAAACAATTTACCTACCTAGTTCAAAACGTATATTGAGAAACATACATTTCTGAACTGTTTTTAGTGAATTAAAATGAAATCCCAGTATGTTTATACTGTTAGTGCTGAATGTGTTTTATAGTCACACATGGTATATATCTTAAACTTTTTCATTAAATGTGAAATAATGCATAATGAAAATACTTTTTGTCTAGACTTAGCCATTTTTGGACTGAATAATTTCAAGGAAAGGTCTTGCAAACCTCTTAAAACTATTACGTTATATACAGCACATCCAAGAAGATGAGCTAGGAACTTGTCTTTATTATCAAATGTTATGTATTTCTGTAAACTTATCAAAATCTTTATTTAGAATTTTATTTTTTCCCCAGCACAACCCACCAAGTGGTTTGCATCAACAACATAAATTTCCAGAGAAAATCTGTTGTTGTAAGTATCTTAAGAAGAAAGGAGTATAGCTTAGTAATGGAGACTTAATGGATGGATGGATGGCTATACTGGCTTCACACATGATGCAGATATTATTATTTTTCTTGAGTTAATCACAGTTGGCTGAGTTCAGAAATCATGCTAACCTATAAACTGTAGTTTACAAACCCCATTGGTTTGTCGTAATACAATGAGTGTTAACATTTTTGTGGTGTTATTGTGTTTGTGAGTTGCCCAGAGTTGTGTTCTAAGATGGGCAGCCATACAAATCTTTTTAAATAAATAAAATATTACAGGATTCAGCACAATATATGAACTAAGTTGTAGTCTGATATGGTATAAAGAAGTTCTTATGTACTGTAGTCTCCAATAGCTGCTGATAGTAGTGGATTAGATCTACAAGATCTAGTTTCAGATCTCTGCTTAGCCAATTGAACTTGTTTAGAACATCTTCCTCAGAGAGAAGATATGAAGGAAAAAGATTTCGTTTGACACTGTCTATTTGCACTATGTATTCTGTGTTTGATTTTTGTTTTTTAAAAGCAAGAGTCCAGATCATAGTTTGAATATTTCTGCACTAATGCATTTTTGTGAGCTAAACTAATTTTGCAAGTTAATTGAAAAGAGAAGTAGTATATGCTTTTCCATTTAAGAATGAGATTTATGAAATAATATATGGGCCTGAATCTCTGTATTGGAATTCTTTTCACTGATCAAAAAGTGTATTGCAGTTCAAATGTTATTGTTTCATTTCTGAGAAGGAGAGTGCAACTCTAGAAAGTAATATTAGAAATATCAGCGGGAAAGCAGAAGTTAATTCAGATGATAGAGAAGGGAACTCTTTTCCATACTATAAATGAGGGTCTGTGTGAAAGAGAAAATATGTTTTGACCCTCAAACAAACCATTGCATACTAGAAGTTCTGCCAACAGTTTGGATCAGCTATGGCACGAAGGAAAGGAAACAGAAGAGTTTGATTGTTCTGAGTTTTAGCTGTGAAACAAAATCCAGAGGGATGCCAGAGTGAACATTCAGAGCAAGTGGGGGCAAGGCTGAAATACCATCTTGCCTCTCTACCTGGCCTCAATTTTCCAAGTATCTTCTCATCCTCCCTCCCCAGTTTCGCCTCAGCTGCAGATGTCCCAGCATTGCATATCACACCAAAACACATAAGTTTTGTTCAGGTTCAGATCAGCCCAAACCAACTGTTCCTTATACAGAATCATTTGTGCACATTTTTGTTTTATAAAAAGCAAATTGTTTTGAGTATAAGCTTTATGAGCTTAAAACGTGTACTTATTATATGAAGTATATGAATTTCTGACATTTTTTTTTAATTGTAGGGCTATGTGGAGCTGACAATATTTCCTACAGTTGCAAACCTGAATAGAATTAAGCTGAACAGTAAGCAGTGCAGGATATATAGAGTAAGAGTCAATGATCTGGAAGCAGCTTTTATATATAATGATCCAACACTGGAAGTTTGTCACCATGAGTCCAAACAGTGAGTAACAGGCCATGCTGGCAAATGTACTTGTAGTCATTATCAGTGATTTTCATAGCAGAATATAGATTGGATTTCAGGACCCCAGATTCCTTCTAAATACGAAATGTTTTGGAATGCAGTTCTATAATGATAATTACAGACAGAAAGTTCCTGTATTGTACTTCAGGTAAGTTGAAATTAGCCTCACTGAATTCATTAAAATTGAATTCAAGATCTGTGTTACTTTTTGGTAATGGTGTTCATTATTGCAATTCATTATTTGCTAAAAAATGTACAGATAAAACAGTGTTAGGACAAAGAAACAAATTAAGAATTGTTACTGTTATGGTTAGGGAATGGTAATTGAAAGAATTACAGGCATAGGTATAGAAAGCATTTATTGGACTGTTTAGTGATTATGGGCATATGGTTCAAGGCATGTTATAGTAGAAATATTAAACATTATAGAGAATTTTAAATAGGATTCTCCAATTTTGGTACATTTATTGTTATTAATTTCTGCCTAACCAAAATAAGCTTTTCTAAATCCTGTTTTGTTTAATAATGATAACCAAATTAAGGATGAGGAATCTTTTACCCTCCAGATATTACAGAACTACAGTTCTCAATATCCCTCATAGTGTGTGAGGCTGCTGAGAGTGACAGTTCGTTTTTTATTGAGGGAAAAAAGGCAAGATGAAAAGAAACAACAAAAAACTAAAGCAAAAAATATCAAAAATAATGCAGAATTTAAAAGAATATTAGTAACATAGTGTAAAGCCAGAGAACTCAACTGAGTGTGAAACCACAATTGTTAGAATGCAACAGGATTTTATTCATTAATTCATTCATTAATATTTCAAATTTGTTACCACCCATCTCACTACAGACAACTCTGGGCAGTTAGCTTTACTTATTTAGATAAGTTAGCCATAATGAACAGGATTCATTGTGGTGACTTACTGGGAAGTTAATTCTTAACTCTCAACGTCCATTGATTTGTAATTCAGAATTTTATGTGCCGAAAAACTCTGCATGTACAACATACACAATATAAAACAGAAGAAGTCAGTTGTATAGGCAGTCTGTAGTCATTTGGAAAATTGTTTTGCCCCATGTGGAGTAGCAAAAAAAGCTGTTTTGGCAATTTAGTGGCAATTATACTGATTTGTTTTTCTGGTCCTATTGATAGTGGCAGTCTCCACAGTCTGGATCCAAGGTTTTATTTTGCCCTGAACGTTCAACCTAACTTTATATAAGGGTTACATATAGGCCTGTTTTGCAACCTACAGAAGCCTACATCGTAGCCCCTAAAATCGTTTTGCACGAGGCAGGCCTTGCTCCTCGTGCTGAATCCATATTATGAGAATATATACAATGGGATAATTTTCTCATGGTTAGTGGATGATTTTCTTAAAACGCTTACTTCAGACGTTCTGTGGTTAGCGAATGGCTTTTCCGGGTGGGTAGAAGAGCTATTGCAGAGCATGTTGTTTTAGAAATACAGTAATTGCTTGAGGGTTTCTTTGGTTTTCTTACGTTGGGGAGGAGCCGATTCCAGAATGTGAATTACCTTTGTGTCGAAACTTGAAATAATAGATCCATTAATGTTGCAGGCGAAATCTCAACTACTTTTCCAATGCTTACGCTGCTGCGGTCAGTGCTGTGGATCCAGATGCTGGAAATGGAGAGCTGTGTATTAAGGTGCCCTCAGAGCTTTGGAAACATGTGGATGGTACAGTATAAAGATCCCACTGATTTGTGAAATAAAGATGCTATTATATCTTTGAAATCCAGTTGATATACATGACACCTGTTGACTCCATATTGGGAGCGGATCAGCGCCATTCCATAATCACTTTTGAGTTTTGAGGAACTGTGGAATGGGTGGGCCACTCAATTTTCTTTCGAGCATTGTAGGCTAGTATACAGGAAAGACAGCATCAAGAGAAATGTTTCTGGTTTCATATTCTCAAGCAACACGTTTTAAAATAGAGATTTAGGATTTTGTTAGGATTCCTACACTACTTTCAGCTTCCTAATTTTCTCTTTCCAAGTGCATTAATATTATAAATGCAGTGCAGAATTCTCTTGAAAGCAAGGATGAATATATACATTTTAAAGTAGATGTTTGTTTTGTGTTGCTACAGAACTAAAAGTGCTAAAGGTACACATCAACTTTTCTTTGGATCAGCCGAAAGGAGGCCTTCATTTTGTGGTACCTAATGTGGAAGGCAGCTTGGCAGAAAGAGGTGCTCATGTTTTCTCTTGTGGTTATCAAAATTCTACAAGGTGAGATTTGTGCAACCTTGTTTTCCTAGTAACTGGTGTGTGCATTCGTCTCTGTCATATGTGTTGGAAAGTGCTGAAAGAGTTAGCCCGTTTTTCTTCACAGTTATTTCAGAGTATTTTAGGATTTCTAAGTCATGAGAAAAAAAATAGCCATGAATATATTGATCAGGAATTTTTATTTCATTTCATTTCATTTTTATTTTTATTTATTTTTATTTTTATTTATTTTTATTTATTTATTTATTTATTGGATTTCTCTCCCGCCCATCTCCCCTACAATATACTGTCTACTGCAATTTTTCAAAACAAAGGTAGATAGCATTGTGTAGTTCTTTTGTACATAACTAAATAAATTTATTTTCTTTTTTCCTATACCAGTCGATTATGTGCCATCAGGTTGTGGTCAACTCTTAGGAACCACGTAGATAGATAGATTTACTCCATGACAGTCTGTCCCTAACCTGGACTTTCAGGTCTTCCAACAGTGTACTCATTGTCACTGTAACTATCCACCTTGCTGTTGGTCATTCTCTTCTCCTCTTTCCTTCCACCTTTCCCAGCATTAGAGCCTTCTCCAGACAGCTAATGCTTCACCTAATGTGTCCAAAGTAGGATAATTTGAGCTTAGTCATTTGTGCCTCAAGTGAGAACTCTGGGTTAATTTGTTCGATGATCCATTGGTTTATTGGTTGTCCACGGTATTCTCAGGAGTCTTCTCCAACACCAAAGTTCAACAGCATCAATATTCTTCCTATCCTGCTTCTTCAAAGTCCAACTTTCACTTCCATAGAGTGTTACAAGGAATTCCATGACTTGCATGTTTCTGATCTTTGTGGTATCATAGCATTTAAATAACTTTTCCAAGGCCTTCATGGCTGCTCTATCAAGTCCTAGTCCATGGCATATTTCTTGCTTATTTATTCCTTTGCTGTTGACAATTGTTGCTAAAGGCAGAAGCTATCCACCACTTTGATATCTTCATTCTCAGTTCTTAGGCTGGTTGTGGTACCTGGCTGGGAAATTCTTGGAGTTGAAGTCCACACATCTTAAAGTTGCCAAGTTTAAAAAACACTGTTCTAAAGTATCTTGGATGTTGACATCTCTACTGTATAGTATTTCAGTATACTCCCTCCATTTTTGTTGGCTCTCCGTTGAGTTGGTTGCTATTCTTGTATACTAATGTGGAGAGTTCTTAGTTTGTTTATACTGATATACAAAAAATTACATTTGAAGTGCTTACATTTTAAGAAGCGCTTAAAAATTCAAAACCAGTGATATAGTAATTCTGTTTCTTACAGTAAATGTTCAATATTGCCTTAAATCTATTGTTTGTCTACTAGTTCAGATAAAACCGATATAGTATTAAAATTTAATAATTTTTTAAATTTATTAAAATTTATAAAAATAAAAATATAGTATTGAAATTCTGTATTAAAAGATAGAATTTTTAAATCATGTACATATATAATGATTTATATATATAATTTTTTTTAAAAAAATAAATTTTCAGAATGTTGAAATCCACAGATCACACACGTGGGACTGGCATATTATTTACCTGAATGGGAGATGTCTTTCAGTATAGGGAGTAATAAAGATATGTGGGGGGGGGTTCTCATTTTGATGGCAGACAAGTCATTGGTTTAAGGTGCAAATAAGATATTTTCCTCAGATTATTGTATGCACATTCATTCAATATGACTTACTGAAAATGTGCTGTGTTTCTTGCTAGGCTATTATGATCAGTGGCATATCTTGAATCAAAAATATATTACAAATGTTCTTTGCAGTACAGATTCCTGAAACGTTATCATGAAATAGAAATTTAATAGAAATCCTAGGGTGGTCCAAGTTTTAGTACTGTAGGACTGCATCCTGATTTTTAAAAGCTTTTATCCATAGATATTTCTAAATGGATAGTTCTTACTGCTTCTGATCAAAAAACATTGTACAGTGTTATATATTTTACCTTCTTAATAGATTTATTGTGATCTATAAAGAAAGCCAGTACAATTCATAGTTGAAGCCTTATCAGGAACTCAGTCAAAAAAAGGCAGATTTGTAGTAGTTCTTGAGGCAAGTAGTTCTTGTACAGTGGTACCTTGGGATACGAACGCCTCTACTAACGAACTTTTCGGGTTACGACCAGTTCCGGCCGCAAAAATTTACCTCGATGTGCGAACTCCGCCTCAGGGTACGGTCATTTTCCCGCCCTGAAATGTGGTCCGCAGCCATTTTTCCGCCCCTGACACATGGTCCGCAGCCATTTTTCCG